GATGCTGTTTAAGAACAGATGTAAACCATTCCTCCCGCATCATACCCATACGGCCTTCCTAGACCATGGTGACAATGAGGGCCACGTCCAGGTGAATAATATTGTAATCCCCACAGACTGCACACAGCTGACATTTGCCCTAGTCCTACTGGAAGGCACTAAGAAGCTTGAACTTCTTTAGCTTAAAAGCCACCAGGATTTTCTAGTTCAGGTTTGCCTATTGAAAGCATCACATCTCAGCTATGCAGCAGGTGGTCATTTCAAACTGCTTCCCCAGTAGTGTGGAAATGGATAACTCGGCAGGAAAGCAGCCTGTCTTGCCTGGATGTGCAGATTACTCTCTCCTGTAATCTTCCAAAAATATCACAGTAGCTAGATTAATTGCTCTCATTCTATTCACGAAGAACCACACTCAGAAAACTTAATAATTTTCACAATGATGCACAGCTAATAAGTGGCAGAACCAGGATTTTGACTGCATTTACATAACCCACATCTTGACCCTATCTACTATTGTCATCCATCATGTCCAAGTGCAAGCAAATGTTGCAGTCCCAGTAAGAATGTTTCTAGTCATGAACAACTGGATTTAGATACCCAAGAATGTGTAGTGTTTTTTTAATTGGCTTACACAGAGAGGGGAAAACGAACTAGCTGGAGTTTCTTGAAATTCCTCTAACGTATTTGCCTAGAAGTTGGTGTGCAATGATTTGCTTTTCATTGCAGAAGACAACCTCAAGAAACTTCAGACAACTTGTCATTGTAAAGGCATTTTCCTGGCACCTATTTCATGCAAAGTAGGGCAGAATAAGGTGCTACTACTCTCATGAAGTCTCCCACCTCATCATCAGGCTTAATTTCCTTGTCAGTGTCCCACTCTGGGATCCAGCTCCTTCAGGTTCTGTCTTACACAAAACTAGAAGCCAAGTACCTGGTACTTTCCTGTGTACAGGGAAGGAGCAATAATAGACCCTGAGACTTGGGTAACAGAAGTGAGTGAGACATCCCTAATTTCAAAGGAGTTTAAGGTACATTAAAGGAAACCATTGTGCACATAATTGATAACAGTACATGAGAGGAAGGAGAGCAAGGTGCCAAGAGGGAGGGGAGGGGAATGGAGGAAGCCTTAGGTTCTGAAGGAGAAAGACGGGTTATACTAGGTGTTAGGATATAATGGAAACAAACTGACCTCATACAGATCCAGGTGGAATGCTAGCTCGATCCAATACACTCAATTACCTAGAAGCTCTGTGACTTTGGTGAAGTTAGTTAACGTCTCTGAACCTCTTTCCTCATCTCTAAACCAATATACCCGATAGCTTTGTTCAAAGAAATAATACAATTTTTAAAGTATGCAGCACTGACACTAGCCCATTGCAGGTGCTCAGTAAACACAAATTCCCTTGTAGATGATACAAAGATAGCCCTTGGAAATCTCATTTGATTGTTCTCCTGAGTGTTAGGAATTTTATTGAAAATTGTTCAAAAGAGGTAGGCATAGATGTGAATAAAACATTTCGGGAAGGGAGAGGGGATTAAGTTAAATGGATGGTAGTGTTAGATTTTGTTTAACTTGTTGAAAAACTTAATAACTTAATTTTCAGTACTATTATATAACTTAAAGAAGACATTTCACAATTTACATACCTGCTTTCTTGGTAATTTCTATAGCATTTCTAAGTATAAACTCATTTATCTCCAAGAAACTGCAGACATGTCCCCTCCTCTATTTCCCTCCCTCTTTCTCTCTCTCTCTCTCTCTCTCTCTCTCTCTCTCTCTCTCTCTCTCTCTCTCTCTCTCACACACACACACATACACACACACACACACACACACACACACACACACCATTTATATTTGTAAGCTCAGATCTTACTGTTTTTGCTCTGATAAAATTACTTGTAAAGTTTTTTTTAAAAGAAAGAGCAAAGAAAGGGTAAGCACTTTTGAACACAGGATTTGTAACTAACATGGCCTTCATAGTAGTGAAGTTTTGAGAGCAGAATGTATTCCAATTAAGACAAATGCAATACAGTAAAATACAATACACCACTTCCCCATCCGTAATGGGGAAGGTAAACACCATAGAATATGACGTAGAACAAGGATTTCAAAAACATGGCAGAAAACATTTTGGGGATCTAATGAGCCATACAGTAAGGAGAATACAGTTTATTATGAAAGCAGATATCCTGTTGTGATATATAAAATGTGGCAGCTAGAAGAGCTTTACAAATTGCTGAGCATATATAGGTTAAGTGTCAGAGAAATTTTCCCAATATGACATGACTGAGATGGGGAGAGCACAGAGACCACTTAGAGAACCATAGGGGGATTTGGGAGTGGCAGTGACTAGACAGGAATAAAGCTGTGAAATTAGAATATTTAGCCTTGATTGAAATTCCTCTAAAGTATTTGCCTAGAAGTTGGTTTGCAATGGTTTGCTTTTCATTGCAGAAGAAAACCTCAAGGAACTTCCCTTCCCAAAATGTTTTATTCACTCCTGGAGGATAAACATGTTGTGTTTCTTCATTAAAAACCTTAACATTGAAAATGGGCAGTTTTAGTACCTGCAGCCACTTTATAGCTGAAATCATTTAATGATTCTGCTCACTTTTGCATTCATTATTCATTCACTCATTCATTCATTCAGCAGATGTTTATTGAGTACCTATTATTAAGTGCCTCCTGCATGCCAGACCCTATGTTAGGCACGGGGAATTCCAAGAATAGTGAGATGTGGCTTCTACCCTCAGAGAGCACAGTCTAATGGGGAAGATGGGCAACTGTACAAATAACCACAATTTGACATGAAAGGGCAATAAAGTAGCAAAGTGGTCAGTTGGGGTTGGGGACTGTCACTGAATTAGATGCTTAAGTGGGGGACAACTGGAGGCAGGATTCCAGGTTTTCATCAGTATGGTGAAGTCATCAGTGTTGTAAAGGAGTCTTGGGAATAGATGGGAGATTTAGTGGATTTCAGGCTGATGTGTAATACTAGGGAGCGGCAGAGTGGAGTACAGATCAGAGGAAGAATCCCTGTTCTGTGTCTCAGGGCAGAGTATTTTCCTCTAAAAAACATTAATGGGAGCTGTAGAATGCCTGTGCAAAGCTTTGACCAGTACTTGCACTAGTGTGCTCTACCAACCTGTCATAAATGTGCACACATGCACTGAGATCCCTGTTTATAAGAGCAAAAAGTTGGATGGGAAAAGGTATGAAAAAATGCCAGTTATTCTGTTGAAAAGGAAGGAAAAAGCATTAGCATAATGACCTCATCTGTGTGTAGGTAGGTGCATGTATATGTGTGTAGGTAGGTGCATGAGAAGTGTCTGTGGCAGCCCAGGCACACATACATGTAGCTCTAGGGGAAGCCCTAGGGAAGCATGCGGTGGGAGAGAGGAAAGAGAAGGTGGGGCAAGGAGAAGAGACAAGATGAACTCTACATTTTTATTCTGTGCTTTTCTTTCAGTTCAAATTTTTACAACATCTGTGAGCTTCATTTTGTAATTTAAAGAAGAAATGATGCCCATGAGGCACTGAGTTCAGCATCTGCCATGTGGCCAGTAATAAATATTGACTCTTTCAGGATGGCAAGAAAACATGACTTGCCCCAAACAATTTAAATCTGCATTCAGCTTTATAGCGATGGTTATTAATAAGTGTTTTCTCTCTCAGCTAAAATGGCATGAAATAAACATCATAAATAATGGCCACTAGATTTTAGGTTAAATAGGTGTGCCATTTGTTTAATCATTTAGGATTTAATTATTCAAAGCTAAATTTTGAACAAGAAGCCTTCCAAATCTAGCTAACATAAGATTTTGCTTAACTGACATCCCACCCCTTAATAACCAACAGAGATTCAGAGATTAAAATTTAATTGTGTAGAATTTTTTTATTATAGAGAATTTGAAACATGCTGTAAGTAGGTCATCTTTTACAATATTCATTTCGTTCTTGTTTTCATGAAAAGTTATGAATAAATTGAATTGGAAACAAATTGTTTTTGAAACTGAGGACTTCTGTTAAAATTCTTCATGACGAGTCTCTTTGTATTTAAAAGAACCATTTATAATTTGAACTAACATTTTCGCATTTATCTTGAGCATAAATTGAGCCTCTCACCTCCTGGATTTTTCTAAAGCAAGACATTGTTGTGCCTAGGGAATGACGGGACAAGTTGTGATCAACAATATCAAAACTTCAGGAGCTTTTACTTTACATGCTGACTGTGTTAATCAGTATCTTAAAACCTGTCTGTTCTTTCATTCTTTTCATTGGATGGACATATGGCAAAAATATCTCTTCTTTGAAGAAACAGTTTGATATAATACTGCTGTTTCTTTTTTTTAGATGCATATATTTTTTCAAATTTGAATGTTTCTAAAATAGATTTAATATGAGAGTGTTCTGTAACCCTATTTCTAATTCTGACCTCCTAGAAGCTGATTGAAATGTACTGTGTATCTTAGAATTGATGAAGTTGTGGACTTTTTTATATTAAAGTTATAGGCAAAAATGAAGATTTGATCCCAAATGATCAGCTTTTTGTAGTCCTTGCCCTACCCCCACAGAAAAACTTACTGCAATTAAATGGCATTATTTTACACAATTTACCATCAAACAGTTGATTCTCTGGTCTGTCAGACTGACAGTAGCTATACGCACCTTAAACCCCCATAACACTGATAATTCCTTGGATTATTGTTTTGTTTTAGCTTTCTTTTTTTTTTTTGGCCCTCTTTTCTAAATTAAGACTCTCATTATGAGAAAATTATAGATTCATATGCAGTTGTAAGAAATACAGGGAGCTCCCACATACCTCTTTCAGTTTCCCCCAACGGTTTTATAAACTATAGCAATTATCACAGCCAGGATACTGATATTGACATTGACATAATCCATCAATCTTACTCCAGTTTTCCCAGGCTCACTTATACGCATTTGTGTGAGCATATGTGTGTAGTTAGTTCTGTGTCATTTTATCACATGTGCAGGTAGCTGTATCTACTACCCCAGTCAAGACAGCGAACATTTCCATCACCAAAACGATACCTTATATTGCCCTTCTTTAATGACACCCACCTCGCCCACCTCTCCCCGTGGACTCTTCACACGTTGGGGATTTGTTGGCATTTGTTTTCTAGTTACCTTTTGGGAAGTAACTGATTTGTCTTTCTCCTCTTAATAAGTGTCTGCAGATAAATAATGCTGAGCAGTTGACCCGTGTGTGTCCGCTACTGAGTCGCGCATCTCCCTGCTGCTCGGCAAAGGAAGGAGCACCAGCGGGGAACAGCCGCCGCCTTGACTGTGCAGCATTTCTAACTCTCTGAAGGCACTGAACCAAACTTGCCGTCTTTGTTTCCATTCCCAGATTACGCTCGATTTGAGGCCAAAATCCATGACCTACGAGAGCAGATGATGAATCACAGCATGAGCTCCGGGTCTGGATCCCTGCGAACCAACCAGAAACGCTCCCTCTATGTCAGGTAGGCAACGGAGCATTTCTCACTGTGATCTGCCCTTTGCCAGCAGTGCAGCTCGGGGAGATAACAGCAACAGTTTGTAACAATGGGTTCGTGGTCTTACTAACCCATACTCATCAAGAGACCACTACATGACCTTAGGTTTAAGCATTTTGACAAAATGCCTGAAACGTTATTATGTTACATTAATTAAAAGCAAGTTTAACAAGTTACTCTTTGACAATGTTAGGATCCGGAGTCAAGTTCTTAGCACAGATTGCAGTAAAAATAATGGGAAGAAACATTTTTATTTCTGATAAATCTTAAATTGAATATAAGGGCCAAAGCCCTGGACATTTGCCTAGTGTGAAAAGAAACTATTCCTGTATCACCTCCTGCCTGCTTGATATTATTGCATTATCTTTGTTGTATTGATTTGAAATCAGAAGCACTCTTTTAAAGAGTTACCTGTGTTTTCCAAACAAATTTTGGTGGAAAGGCTTTTCTTATGTGGCATCTCATTACCAGTGGTTTCTCAGACCAAAAGGTACTTGTTCCTTGCCTGACTAAACTAATTTTACCCCCCCAAAAAAAATGACTGATTGAATGTGAAATGCCTCCCAGTCTTTCATCCCTCTAGTGACCTCTTAAGTAAAAGCCATCATCACTCAACTATAACATCCACATCTTCCTAATGCAAGCCTCCTATATTCCTTGTAAAATATACTTGGACTGCACTTTTGAAAATAATATAACTTTTAACAGCCAAAGTGGGAAAGTGATACCACTGAATGGTCAAAATGATCTATGCACCAGTGAAAGAACCCTAACTCTGCCCCAGAATCTGGTCTGATGCCCACCTAAGGTCAGATCCTCCTCGCCTGAAATTTCAGTCTTTTCCTGATATGAGGTGTGTTACAGATACTGCATATGTACTTGAGTTGGCTTATCCTGTTGACTCCACTTTGGCTATAAAGGTATCTTGTATAGGTATTAGGTAGGCACAGCAGGGCCAGGGAGGGACAGGATTCCAGAAGGCAGTAGGTTCTTGAGGGTCTTGATCTGCTGGCCACTAGAACAAGCATAGAGTCCCTTCTTATTCCAGAGAAGGGACTTTGAAGCCCCAAGATTTAAAATCAAAATAGAACAAAACAGAGTATTTATTATCTAAATTTGTCCAGCTGCTTTTTGGAAGATCATTTTGATACGTGTCAGTGTAATCATTGAAAGGACCTATTGAGAACCACCCTAGAACATGCTTATAGGGAAGTCACAAATGTGATGGAAAGTGGCTATTTCTGTTTTTGTGCTATATTGCTGCTTTTTGTGATGCAAAATATTTTTTGATCTGGATATGTTGAACTCTTGGGTAGCAAACTGGGAAAAACCATTTGTGTTAATAGGATAGAGATAAATCAGTGCAAATGAAATGGTTATATAGAGTAGAACTGGAAACTGGAAGGAAATATTACCATATTTTTTGCATCTTGTTAAAAAAATAGAATGCATCAAAATGTTAATGTAATAGAAGTTTACTGAAAACATTTGGTAATAGTTTAGTCCTTCTAATTAAATTGTGGAAAATTAAATGGAGTGATACAGTGATATTAGGTAAAACTAGTAGACTTATTTGAAAGGGTAATGTTAATCAGACTGAAACTTTTATTCTCAAAAGTAGAGCATACAAAAGAGATGAAGACTTAAGGTAATAAAGAATGTTTTCTTCTTAATATTCTAATAGTTGAAGGTTGTATTGAAAGGAGGAACCTCTTTTACATGAGAATCAAAAATAGCTGACACTTCTTAGGAAATTTTCCAAAGGACCCACTTTACAACATACAAATATGGATTTGGTTTCCAAATGTTCAATTATTAATACTTACTTAGTACCTAGAGGGCTGACCTCAGCATCTAAATGGTTCTTAGAGGTATAGAATTGGAAAAGATACAGGCATGCATAGTATAAAATCACAGGGAAAGAACTTAGAAAATCCCCTGGCCTTGTTCTCATGCAATGTGATAAAACAGACACCCCTACCCCTGAAAAAAAAAAAGCAATAAATGAAATGAAACAGCAAGGCCTAAAGGGATTCCTTAGTAAAAATGATTCAGCAAGTTTGTACTTTTGTTGTGTTTCTTTTGGGTGGGGGGAGCCAATTTTGGCTACAGGATGTTCATAGAGATGCTTGCTTAAGCTAGAGCGCTTGAATAGGACCCATGCCAACTGGCTGGGCTTGTTTTAGAAAACCAACTAGTTTCTCTCTCAAAATAAATTAGTAGCAGTGTTTCTCTGATTATATAAATACCAGATGATGAGTATGTCTCTTTAATCTGAGAATGACATCCTGGGGTATTATTCTCCTCATTCTGCTCAGCTTTATGTAATTCTAGGGCTGGAAGGAACTTTAGCCACTGTTTAATTTACAGAAGAGAAACTGAGGTCTCAGGAGGGAAGAGATTTGCCCAGGACCCCACAGCTATTTGGTGGCAGAGTCAGATCTCCTACCTCCCTCCTCCCCACACCCCTCCACCTCCCAAGGGCTCAACTTACGTGGTATCAGCTATAGAATGCACTTTAGCTGTGATTCTCCATCAGCTACTGTCAGCACAGTGCAGGGTGCTTAGATTAAGGAATAGGTCAGCTGAGAACAGGAATTCAAACATAAACTTTTTTAGCATTTTTATACAGGATAAACTGCCCTATAGGACATCTGGGATTTCTTTAGTATTATTTGTATTTTTCCATGAAGCCAAAACCTAAACCAGAAAGCAAGCAGCCTCTTTGCTCTGTGCTAAACACTTTAGCTGACTTAGCAGAATATTTGTCTGCACCATGAAATCACCCTTCCCCTTGAAGTTACCACTTCTTCCTTATACACACACAGACACCCACAGTCCCTCTCCCTACCCTAGCCCTGCCCTGGCCATATCCGAGGGGTTCCATCTTCTCAGGATGATGCACAAGCTGGCCTCATGCTCTTACTAGACACTGTCTTCCCAGGTGATAGCAATTTGCATGTGTTGAGGAGCAAGGGGTGGAACTAACATTTCTGAGCCAGGCAGCACTTTAAACATGAGCCAACCCTATTTTCCCATCTAGTTGTAATTATTTTCCTTCTTTTAATCTTTTATGGAGGGTGCTTGAAGTGCTTTGGTAGTGCTGTACAAGTGGAGTTGATTTTTGCTAATGCTAATACTGTACATGATCTATGTGAATAATTTGGATATATTTGATTTAATGGGCTATTTGTGTTGTGTATTTCCTGCATTGTGAAACGTAGTTGTATATATATAGAACCTTGAAAGTAAATAAATTGTTAAAAATTTGAATAAAATATTTTTCAAAAGGCTCCACATGTACATTGATTGTTCAGACGTACATGCACTTGGGCTCCTGAGCCACTGGAATACATATTTGGTCGCATGTACTTCAAGGATCTCCATGTGGACAGACTGAAGTCTCCTTGCCTCTAAAATACGTGCTCTCCTTCTTACCTACCAGCTGGTGAAAGCAGCCTTAGAACAGAGAGCAAGTCTTTTCCTTCTAACAGGAATGGACCTTTATGTCCAAATCCTGCTAAGATAGGTCAAAGATACATGGGATTAAATCATGTAAAAGTGCGAATAGCTAAGGAAAGATTCTTATGATAAGAGAGAGCAAGAGTATTTAGGACCCTGGGTCAATGGGGAGGAGGAAAGAAATGTAGGTAAATCCACCTCTGGGGAGTAAAAAGTCACAGAAAACAGTGCAAAAGAGGAATTTGGCCTGTGTTCATTTGTTGATGAAAGGAATCCACTTTGCAAGTTTGAGTGAATAACCTCTCTGTTGGAATTTGGATTTAAAAGTCAGTTGCTCTGATTTATTAATGCATTCATCAAGCACGATTTGAATGTATATCTGTGCCAGGACCCATATAGACACAGAGGACCCAGCAGTAAGTCATTATTTTCTGTCTGTAAGAACCTCCCCTTTAATGGGGAGCGAGATGAGGGGAAGACAGCGAAAATGCGGTATGGTGGGGGTTAGCTCTAGAAGGGCCTGGAATCTTTGTTGTCTCCTAATGCAAGGATAGCTCACTTGGTTCTTGAAGATCTTATGTGAGCCAACCTAGAGGTTTCTAAGTCATTGTATTCAAAATAGGAAATACAGTCTTCATTGTGACCCAGTAAATACATAAACATATAAGCTGAAAATTTTCTTCATGAAATTATCCTAATGCTTTTTATGTTCAGTGTACTTGGTTATTTTCCATTCTTTTTGTCTCCTTTAAAAAAAATAATAAAGTCATTATAAAGTCATTAACTTGATTTAATAACTCAGTAATGGGTCATGATCTACAATTTATAAATGGAATAAACAAGAAGCACTCCAGGCAGTTTGCACAGTCCACAGACAGATAAGAGAGCGCATCTTCCCTACCTCACCTTTAGCATCTCTGGGCCTCCAGACGCTTGGTGGCCTGGCCAGCTAGGAAGGCAGTTATCACTGGGGCACATGAGTTAGTGGGCATGGAGGGAAACATGTGTTGGGCACCTTTGGTAAGTCAGCCACTGTTCATGCTTTTCATGTATTTCCCATATGGTTTTCCCAACAACCCAAAGAGTCAGGGAATATTTCCTTCTGCTATAGGTGAAGCAACTCGGAGAAGTTAAATAATTGCCCCACGATCACAGAGGTAGACTGGCTGTGAGCGCAGAGAGTTAGGCCCTGTGTGTGAGGCAGCATAGAGCGTGTAGGAGCACAGTTGCTGGATTCTGCCAGACAGGAAAATATTTGAATCTCATTTCTGCCCAGTAGCTCAGTGATTTTGGAAAAATCAATTGCTTTGGCCTTAGCTTCTTTATCTGTGAAATGACAATAGTAATCAGATGCCATGAAGTAGTTGTGAGGATTCAGTAAAATAGTGAATTTAAATACCTGGCACATGGAAAGCAGTTAATAAATGTTGGTGGTATTTATCATTTATTATAAGGATAATACCAGAAGGATAAAGACACTGTAGAATTGGATCTGAACTGTTCCCTTAGCAATGGGATGAAATGCCCTTGTCCCTTGCTGGCCTTCAGCAAGGGAAGGACTGACTTCCTGACGACCTTTTACATTTTCCCGCCTCTGACTCTATGAAGGTGGAAAGGAAAGCCAGGATTTCATGGCTCTGGAATGCCCAGCTCTGTCAGCTCATCAGGCATTTCTGATCCCCCAGAAAGGTCTGTCCAAAGTCAGAATCTGCAGAGAATTCAGTTGGAGACACAGAAGAATCACTGCTGTCCTTTCCAGTTCCTCATAGATAACATCAGTGTCCCTAACCCCATGATTCTGCCACTTCCCCTCTGCATTTTTCACCCCCGCTGAGGCCCCCACTAAAGTTTTCTGTTCCATATTTGAAGGATTCATTTCCTTTTCCATGGTTCTAAGTCCACATTTTAAACTGGTGACTCAAACTTGCTGATAATTCCTAAGATAATTTTTCCTGCAAAGGCTATAATAATGACAACTGCTCTTAGGTCTACCTCCTGCCTATTGTTTAAGGCTTTTATACACTGATTCATCAATGCATTGATTTTTTTCTTACAGTAAACATGATTTACATACTGATCTACAGTGTACCAGCCTTCGGTGCATGTTAAAGATACAGAGATTATAGGAATACAGACCTCCTACCCTCAAATCTCATAGTCCATATCCTTAGACAGTTAAAGTAGTGTGCAGATCATTATTTTCTGATACTTCATGTATTATATGCCTTGCAATTATTATCCTATTTTAATCTTTACAGCATGCCTATAAGGCTTCCTATGGTAAAATCTACCCAGAAGACCACTGGTGTTAAAAACTCATTTGTTAAGTGAAATGGAAACACTGTTCAGTACTAGATCTGCAAATCCTAGCAAATGTCTTAATTTTATTATATCCTAGTGCCTTGGCCACAGTGCTTGGCATAAAGAAGTACCTTAGTAAATATTTGTTGAATGAATTAATTCCTCGAGTCTCTTTCCTATGCATATATGAAAGAAAAAATTAGACTGTAAGCCAAGATCTTTAAAAAATTAATCCTATGGAAGCCCGATACCACCTGGGCTGCCACCACGGACATGGAATCTGGCTGTGTCCTGAGGACAGATTCCCAGGACACATGTGGCACCACCCGGCCTTTCAGGCTGCTTCGTTTGCCTGCTAAACTCTGTGACTCCCTTTACATTGAGGCCTATTCAGTAACGGACTTAGACAAGCACGCACGGCCGATGCCCTCTTAGTGGGAGGACTCTGGGTAGGAGCAGCGTCCACGGTGGATCTCATCCCGTGTCCCGTTTTCAGTGCTCTCGGTCTTCCTACTCGGGGACAGCAGGCGGGAAGTCCTGCTGGGGGCAACCTGAGAAAACAAACGCCAGCCTGGAGCCTTCATCCTGATGGTTTTATGGTAGGGGAAGGATGTTCTCAGCTGACGGATTTTGTTGGGAGGGGAAAACTGCGTCATCACTTCAGTAAGAGAAATCGGTCTCTTTTTTTCTTCTCCTTTGGTAGCATGTCCTTCCAGCCCACTGTGCTGCTCCTCAGTAACTTGGGGGTGTTAAGGAAGAATAGAGAATGGAGCCTGTCAGGGGACCTCACTACAATGAGAAGCTACTCCTAACTTCACTTGGCTATGGGGTTTTCAAGGGTGTTTAAAACAAAGCCATGGAATCTGTGCACTTTGTTATGTCAGAATTTCATCTTCTCCTCCAACCTTGGACTCAAAGTGCCCTCAGCAGCTGTCCCCATAGGACACAGTAGAGGACAATTAACTCTCCCCCAAAAGCAATCAGCTGTGTGTACCCCCTGCCCAAGACTTGGTGCAGGGCTGGCTGACAGTGGCATTTTTATTGCCTCTCATTCATTCACTCATACATTCTTATTCAGCAAAAGTATCCTTTGTTCAGTCAGAAATACAATGTGTTACAGAAGAATAGGGAAAAAAAACTGCTTGCGTTCAGATCTCTTACCTTTCTTAAAATCCTACTGAAAGAGGTATGACAAAATATCTGAAACAGTTGAGCAGGAGGAGAAAGACTATCTAGAGAAAGTCTAGACATGGGAAGCCAGAAGAGGTCTGGAGAGGATATTACAACGTCTGGGTGGCCTGCCTACCCACAGGGGGGCCAGAACTTGCATGCCAGTGCCTCTCTCCTGACTTCATTTAGACCTTACAATAGTGCTTTGCCACCAATATAATTATTATCCCCATTGTACTGAGGAGGAACTTTACAGAAGGCCGAATAAATTTAAAAATAACCTACTCAAGGTGTTGTGTAGCCTACCTGTATTCTTTATGCAAGTATGTCTCTCACTGAAGCCCATGTACTACAATGTGGTAGAGATGAAGTTAATCATGTGGGGGCCTAAGTTAAATTCATACTGATAGACTTTCTGTTTGATTTACACTTTGTACTGACTTCCCCCAGATAGACCTGGCTTGTGGTCCAGGTTTCAAAGCTTATCAATTGCTAAAACTTGAGATTCTCATTTATAAAACAGACATAATACGTGGTTCACAGGCTTGTTTTTCGTTTTTAGGATTAAGTTAAACTAAGTCTATGAAAGAGTGTGCCAGACAAGACTGGTTAGGTAAAGGGGAGACACTTTACCCAAGTGCTCAGAGCCTGCCCCCTAAACCGCTGCCTCCTTTAAAGCAGAATAGAATTAGATTCTTCACTTACACTTTGAGACTCATTAGCATTGTGCTCACTCTTTCAAGCACTTGCGTTTTTAATTGCAAACTTAATTGTGGAATAAAAGGCTTTGTCTTCAGACAGCTAATTTTATGCCAGAAATAGAAAGGAGGAGAAGTCGGGGGGGAGGGGAACCTGGGGGAGTTTTCTCCTTCCCCTGAAATCATAAGCTGGTCCTGATTTTTAAAAGGTTTTTAATTTTTAGATTTCTATAGAAAGAGGGACAAAAGTACCATGGGTGACCCTTCCATTTGCCCATCGCATTTTTCCTTCATCTCTCTATCCCAAGATCTGGACTCCAGATATCATTTTTATTAATGGTGAGTCCTCATTGATTCATTCACCCACTCATTCATTCATCCAGAAAACCTTTTCTGAACCATAACCATCACCTCATACTGTACTGTGCTCTGGGGATAAAAGGATTAAATAGGGCATCTTGGGTGCTCTTAAGGCATTCAAGGGTCACTCTACCAACCTGGATTGTGCTCCCCACCCCACACCCCATGGTAATCATATTTCCAGAAGCCTTGCATATCCCAAGGAGGTGTTTGGCCTCTTAGCCCAAACTTATATCTTCCTACAATAATCCAGGCAACCTTAGCTAGAAAAGAGAGCAGAACAATAAAATTAGGGACACAAGGCACTCACAGAAGAGAACAGGTGAAAGTGAGGGCATGAAGAAATGGAGGGAACCACCACTCTGATCATGAGGTTAGGTTGGGAGCAAGGGAATAGACTCAAGATATCTGTCCTTTAATCTCAGCGCCTGACACATTATAGGAATTCTTTAAATAGCTGTTGAGTGAACTTTTTGAGTGGCAATTGAAGATGATGATTAAACAGAACAAGGTTATTAGGAGAACCATCAACAACTCATAGATTCTGGTTGGGTTAAGCATATGCTTGTCTGTGTTCCTCTGCACCACGTAAACTACTGTTTGCTAACCTTCACATCCTTGCCTTTTTCTGCCTGTTGGGTCACCTGTCCCCTCTACTGGACCATAAGCACCTCTCAGGTGGAGATTGGTCTGGTTACACTCTGTATTTGCACAGTCTGTCATATGATACCTGCTGAGTCAATCAAATGAATAAATTACAGATGTCACTAGATGGAGAGCATTTAACTTTAATTAAAATTGTACTTGATTATCTCACGGCTTGCAAATGGTTCCCTGCCTAACAAAGGTCCCTGTCCCTTTTTGATCAATGAGTAAGCTGCCCTGTTCAATAGTGAAAATCATCTCAGACTACTTTTTTTTTAAATTCATTTAGCCAAACAAATCCTGTATTTAATACAGGTTAGACTTCACATCCATTTGTCTTTTTGTTATAAATAAATAAAAACACTAACAATAACAAACATTCACAAGTATTTTTAGAATACTTAATAACCATAGTCATGATAAATAGCAAATCATATTGTATCATCTTCTGTCCCAGGCAGTTTGCTAAGCACCTTATGTGGATTATTTTATTAAGCTCTCACAAAAACCCTGGGATATAGGTGCTATTGTTATCCCCACTGTAGAGGAGGGGAAATGGGTGTGAGGATTGAGGTCTACCCATAAGAGGCTACACTGGGACTAGAATATAAACATACCATCTTATGTTCCTACCTACTTCCCATGCCATGTGGCTGTACCGAAAGACTTTATTTGATACAATATGTCTGTTAAGTAGGAATTATTTTTCCACAGTTTCAGTTAGGGAATCTGAGGCTTAAAGAATTAAGCCATCTACTCTTTTCTTCAAGCATAGAGTAGTACCACACCCTTGCCTCAGTCCACTCTCTTGAAAGATGTATAAACAGACAACTCACATGTATCTTTTTACTTATTACATGATTTCTATAAAACTACTTATGCATTATTACATATTGAATGGGCAATGGAATAACATACGGTCATCTTAGATCCTGCACTCTAGTTTGAAGATGTCCAAAGCATGCAGATTTGTGACTGAGTCCCCACTGGGCTATGGCCGTTACAATTGTATGAACAAGGTTGCTGCCCCTCATCTTCCAAGACAGATCCTGCAGCCTGTGTAGCCCTATACATTCAAAACTCCACATCAAAGACACAATTGAAGTGTCTATCACACATAGTGCCCCACTCAAGACACTGTCACCTGGGGCCTGATTTGACCAGGTACACAATTTGCAGGGCCCAGTACAGATTGAAAATGTGAGGCTCCTTGCTCAAAATTTAAGAATATCAAGATGGTGAGAGCAAAGGAAAATACTAAGTGAAGGACCCCCATGTCCAATACCTAGAAGCCTGTCCTGCTGTCCTAATCTAGGACATTTTGCTCAAAACTGAAAGCATGTGTGTTTTCCTTAGTGTGTATAGCACAATATGTGTATGAGGTGTACCGAGTCAGCATAGGGTATATTTTCAAGGATCCAACCTTTGTCTTTTACATAAAAGAATACTTTATATAAATTATCCATATGCCTAAATTTATAATATGTAGAAACAATATCTTCCAGCCCCCTTATTGCTTGAGAAAGTTTAAATTCCCACTTTCTCTGAGCTTGCAATGGTCCACTGTGAGTTAGGTCTCTCCACTGAAATAAATCTCTCAAAAGCTAAGGAGAATCATTATTTCACATTTATTTAGCACCTGCATTGTACTTTAGTCTTCATGTTCTGTAAAAGTTTCTGTCCCCTTCTCTAGGTCCTTAGCCCTATAATTTTAAGAAAACACATAAAAGCTCTTCAAATGACTGTGGAAGTCACCAGAAGCCATTAGATGTTAGTGTCCTTTCCACTGTCTTTTTCTAAATGCAAAGGCTGTAAGACATAAAAATTCCCTCACCAGAAACATTAGAATAAAAAAAAATCAGGAGCCTGACATGGGATTGACAACTTAATTTCACCAAGAATTCCAAAAATAGTGAACACAAAAGCATATTATAGCATATATTTTTAATTGACTGCTGTTTATTATTGTCCTCATTTTATGCAAGAAAAATTGCCCCTCAAAAAAAGAACATAATCTGAACATAAGGAAAAGCAATTCAGATTTTAAAACTTATGTTTTTAAACCTCACTAGATGAATCTCCATATTTCCTCTATCCATATAATCCTACCTTATAGCTGGAAAAAATTAAGCAAACATTGTGATATTTAGTTGTTGAATGAGGCATGTTTAATTCTTACCATGAATCTTTTGGTTCTAAACGAATCTAAAATGCTTAGGGTACATTTTTGGCCTCTATTCTTTCTTGAAAAAGAAATCTATCTTTTAGATTTTTTTTTTCCTCATGTACTTTCTTCACCTTTTATACCATTTTCTCAAAAAGTAGGACACACAGACCTATCCTATGTGGTAAACTGATGCTGTTAAGTGATGCCTATTAAAGGGTAAGAAAGAATTTTCCATCATCAAAATTATTTTTGTTATTTTTTAAATTGTAGTTTTATTTATTTACCTTTATGTCATTCTTTCTTCATTTTAAAAACAGACCCTTTTTAAAGGCATCATGACATTATGGTAGCTAACTTTGCATTTTAAAACTTCATATAAGCTGTCTTGTTTCACCAGGCTGGTTCTTTCATATACTTCTTTCCCCTTTAATTTATTTAAAAAGGCAGATTTGGCCTTTCAGATGCAGGATCCCATAATTTTTTTAAAAAATGTGATTCCATGGGTAAAATAATGATAAAATGTGATGTGAACTGAATAGAACTGTATAATAAACAGGATATTTGGTGGTTTCTAGTGACCTTTATCATTAAGATATAAATGCTCATGGAAATTAACTATGTAGTTCTTACTCTCCAGACAAGGCTCATAAATCAGTTCCAGTAGCTTCTGAATTAGTTCATCCCCCTCTTCCTGTTCAGGATTGCTCTGAATTAGTCATCAGGAAGGGCTTGTGTTTCTGGCTGCTGTGAATCCAGGTCAGTGGAGAGTTTCTGTACTTTCTAAAAGGCCAACCCCATTGCTGGTTCTGTGTAAGATGATGACACTTTTCTCTTATCCTAGTATTTCCTGTGCCTGTCCCTTCCCTCATAAATAGATACCCCCATACTACTGCCACCTCTGCTACACACTAGGCTCTTCTTATGAGTCTTTGCTTATATAATGGATCCAGGTATCCTGAGGACAAAGAAGTGGTGGTGAGAATTTAAATCTCCTAATTTCTACAAGAGAGGATCATTATTATTATCCCCACTTTACAGTTAATGAAACCAAGCTTAGAGTTTATGTCATTGCTCAGAGTTGCCCAGCAAAGAACAAGGAGAACAAACTCAGTTCTGTCCAGTGCCAAATGTCTGCTCTTCACGTCCAGGGCTTCTTGAAATGCCACACTTTCTTAGATATGCTTAATTTCCTATATGTTCCTTCATTCCTATTGATATTTCAAATTGCAATAGAAAGGCCTGTAAGTTTTACCCTAGAAAATACAGCCATTTAATGTATAATGCATCTCCCTCAATGAGTACCTTAAGGACAAGGATCTGGATTTTAGTTTTTCTTGAGTAACTCTTAATTTAAAAAGACTACCTTAGATGCCGTCAAGGATTCAATATGCCTTCAAGGATGCAGCTGACCTTACTTGGAAAAAAACAGATGGAAATAATATTAATATTGTTATTCTGAACCAAGACACTGCTCCAGCAACTGACAATATTGGGGGATAGGAAATAAAAGAGATTTGAAAGGCCAAGTATGATGAGCTCCAAAAGTAAAGCTGTGTTTTTTGTTGCGTGGGCGTGGGGGCATCATTGACTGTGTGTCCCCTCTCTGCAGGAGGTAATCAGGCAGTCACAGAATGAAACACTAACTCCTTAGAACACCAGTTCACTCACCGTTCATTCATGTGTTCACAGCACAGAGGAGCTGGAAAAAGCTCTAGTTGGAGAGTTTTAGAAGGGCTTGGACTTGAACCCTGACTCTGTCACCTATTGCTTGTGTCATGACCTTGGCAATTCATTTCTTCTCCCTCTGGGCCTCAGCTTCTTCTATAAAATGAGGATAAGAAGTCCACAGCTCAAAAAGTATGAAGAATAATGTTTATAAATCATCTAGCATCTTATACAAACTCTTTCAGAAATTAGAAAAGAGAGGGTACTTCTTAGCTTCTTCAATGTTAATATCTTCTTGATACCAAAACGTGACATGGTCACTATAAGAATTATTATTGTCTAATCTCTATCATAAACATAAGATCAAAAACCCAAAATGAAATGTTGACAAAGTGAATCCAGTGATCTATAGAAAGGATAATACAGGCAACAAAATGCGCTAGGCTTCAGTTCATCAAAAGGCACCAGGAATAGTATGGAAGCAGAAGAAAGACTGTAGGAAAGGATTTGCAATGCAGAGATCTGGAAAAGGAATTATAACCCGAATATGTAAAGAACTGCCACAAGTTATTAAGAAAAAGATAGAAACCAAATTGTTTTAAATGATCAGAATGCTTGAGCAGGTGTTTCACAAAAGACAATATGCAAATGGTCAGTCCTTCTATGACATGGTGCTCATTTCATTGATTAGAAAAAATGCAAATTAAAATCCCACTGTAACTATCTATCACCAGAATGGCTAAAGTGAAGAAGATCGTTCATTCCAAGAGTTGACAAGCTGTAGAGACTCTCGTATATTGCTCATGGGAGACAAATTGGTATGATCATTTGTTAGTATTTGCCCTTGTTGAGTATATTATGTCCTATGATTCATTCCTGAGTATATACAGGATAGAAACATTTACATATAGTTAACAAAAATGCATACAAGAATGTTCGTAGCTGCATTGTCTGTTAATAGCCCAAGCCCAGAAATAACCCAAATCTCTATCATCCATAGAATAGGTAAATAAATTGTGGTACATTTACACAAGGGAATATTGAACAGCAATGAAAATGAATAGCTGCTCCATGCAACACCAGCTTGGAATCCTGCAAATATCATAGTGCATGAAGGAAGCCAGACACACAAAATGCTCTGTGTATGTTAGTTTTCTGTACTACTGTAACAAATTACCACCCATTTTTAGTTTAAAAAAAAAACGCAAATTTATTATCTAACAGTTTCTGTAGGTTGGCAGTCCATTAAGGGTCTCACAGACTAAATCAAGATAGCAGACTGTGTTCCTAGGTTCCAGGTGAGGACACAATTCTTTCTTATTTGAGTTGTTGGCAAGATTCAGCTCCTTAGAGTGATAGGACCAAAGCTCCTGACTTTTGCTAGCAGTCAACTAAGGGCCATTCCCACCCTCCAGGGGCTCTCACATTCCATGGCTAGTGGCCCTTCCATGTTAAAAGCCAAGAACTTCAGGTTGATTCTGATCGCTTGCATCTCTCTGACTTACCCAGGAAAGGTTCTCTACTTTAAAGACTGATGCGGTTAGATAGGGTCCACCCAGGTAATTTAGGATAATCTCCCCAATTCAAGGTCCATAGCCTTAGTCACACCTGCAGGGTCCTCTTTGCCATATAAGTAACGTATTCACAGATTTCGGGGATTAGGACTGTGGAGGTCCTTGTGGTGCCATTCTGTCTACAGCAATATGATTCCATTTGTATAACATTCAAAACCAGACAAGATTCACCCACGGTGGTAGAAAAGAGTGAGTACGTTTGGGATCACATTCTTTAAAGTAGAATAGGAAGAATGGTATCAATGATAAAGGGTTGTTGCAAGAATTAAACCCAACAAAAGTGTTAATGGCCTTGAAAAGTATCTGTCACAAAATAAACACAGTATTTGTATTTCCTATTGCCATATCTTCTCCTTCCCCCTATTTCACCATTTCACCTGTGAAAATACTGTAGTCAGGACTCTGCAGGGGAAGGTAGTCTGCAGACCTGCACACCCTCTGTGACAGTGGGTGCCTCCTAATGACTATCCCCCAGAAAGCAGAATGGAAGCATGAATTCCAGGTGCTACTTAGGTTAAGGCAAATGTGGGAAATAGTGCTCTTCAGAATTAATTTGAAACACTGCTTAAAAAGACAGGAAGTGTTGAATGATATGCCGTAGCCCCATCCACAATACCAAACTGCTGTACTTTTTAAGCCACTCACACTCATATCAGCCATATTATATCAATGAGAAAGTAGTTCAAGCAAGGGCTTCAGTCTGTGGCTTTTAGGGTCTAGCACAGAGTCTAAGTAAAAAGGGGTTCCATCAATATTTGTTAAAATTCAATTGAAATTGAAAAGAGCATCTGGTGGTTGTTTTTTTGTCTTATTTTGTTGCCCTTGCCCATGACTTCTTGAATGTGCTCAGAAAGAAGTCTGGTGCAAATTAGGTCTATCATTTATTTCACACATTTTTTCATTCATTCATTTTACAAACAACTAGTGATATCACATGTGCCAGATACTCAGGTGGGTTCAAGGAAAACAAGGATAAAAACATTCAGTCTTTAAAGTACTCTCAATCTAATGGGAGATGTCCGAACCTAGTGTTCAAACCCACCTCACCATCCTACATTGAATTTAGGTTGGTCTGTTCTGATTAAGAGGGATTTCTCTAGTCCAGGGAGCCTCCACCAGGAGGTCATGTGCCTAGTCTCTCTCCCACTATAACCAGTGTGCACTGGCTTCTCTCCTGTGAAGAGCCAGGAAGAATCTTTGAAGTGGGTTTGTTTTATTAGCTCCCTCTCCTTGCTTTATCCCGGTGTTTCTCGTACTGCACACTGAATACCTCACTTCCGATAGAAGATGTGAGGTTTTCCCCCACATCAACCAATTCTCTAGAACCAGCTGGGCATCCCACAATTTAACTTAACTCTGATACTATCTACATGGAGATAGAGTCTGCTCCCACAGGATAAGGGCTGCATCACACTGCTCCTATATCAGATGCCTGTCACAAGTCCAGAAGGCCTACCCCCACTTCAGATGCCAATCAGAAGTCCAGATTGCAACCTGTGCTTCTGACCAACTAGTTATAAATCAGAGGTTCCCACAATCCCCTTCTCAGGTTCTGTAATTTCTTAGAGCAGCTTGTGGAACTCATGAAAACAGTTTGCTTAGCAGATTACTGGTTTACTATTAAAGGATAAAACAGCCAGATGAAAGAGATGCATAGGGCAAGATCTGGGTGAAGAGTTGCAGAACTGCTATGCCCTCTCTAGGAGCACCACCCTCCAAGCACCATCATGTTTCAGCAACCCAGAAACTCCTGAAACTCCATTGTTTGGGATTTTCATGGAGGCTTCATAATGTATTGATAGATTAAATCATTGGCTTTTGGTGATTATTTCAACCTCCAATCCCTCTTCTTTCTTCTGAGGTTGGGAGCAAGGCTGTAAGCTCCAACCCTCTAATCATAAGGCTCCTTTGGCAGCAGCCCCCATCCTTAGGGCTTTTCCAAGAGTTCACTCTTCAACAGAAACTGACTGGAGGTTAAAAGGGGTTTGTTATGAAAAACAAAAGACATCTTTGTGGATCTTATCACTTGGGGCATTCCGAGGGTTTTAGGAATTCTGGGCCAGGAATGGGATGAAAACCAATTCTTATTATAAATCATAATATTAAAGTGCTCTTAAAAATCCTGATACCCAAGCCCCAGCCCAAACCTACTGAGCCAGAATCTCCTGAGAATGTGTCCCAGGCATCAATTATTTTTTTAAAGGGATTCTAGGGTGCAGCAACATGAAGAACAACTATTTTTTCTTTTCTTTTCTTTTAACTTTATTTACTTCCTCCTCAACCTAAGAATAGCTTTAAAAGTCTCAGATTTCTTGCTGGCAGTCTAATGCAAACCTAATGGAAAGTCAGTTCCTGCGACCACTTTTAGTTTTGATCACATTCACACTCACAAGTTAGAAACCAGCCTAGAACCTGATGCTACAATTTTGCTAACCCTTGGCAAAAATTTCCTAATCCAAGACTAACTTTGGGAAGCAGATTGCAAAGATAGGAAAGATTTCTTGAGAATCAGAGAGTTCTAACATTCATATTTTGATTTCAAGTGAATAACAAGTGAACTGATCAGAAGTTCTTAAATTGCACGAGGTCGCTATGAAAATGTTCAGAGTACAGGTGAGCTCCAAAGAAATCTGGTTTGAATGCTGTATCTGTGTGTGTGTGTGGTAATGACCAGCGTTGCAATAAATCTGGGTACAACTAGGTTTACCCAGTCTCCTCCTTTCTGGTTCTTACTGCTCCACCTCCCCTCTCTGCAATGAACTGCCCCCATTCCCCCTCCCACCCACCCCCACAGTGTGGCCCTGGCCTTCCCCCATGCTCTCTCCTTTACCTGCACCACTCCCCACCTTAGGGCTGAGCCCGTGCAGCAGTTGGTTGGCATGGAAACACTAGATGAGCCTGCCTGGTGGGAGAGATGTTCTGTTTCCAAGTGAAAATGGAAAAGATTCAAGTGATTCATTTCCAGCCATTTTAACTTGTGAATTCTTCCATCTATTTAAAATGTAATTATGGCTTCCAATCACCTGCTTGGTAAAGGAGATTATCTTGATCCAGACTCTGCCCACCTCTGCCCCCGACCCTGCCCCTTCCCCCCAGGCCCTGTGCTGCTGCCTTGGGGAGCACCCTGCCCTTGGACAGCTCCCACCAGTGCACTGGCCCTTTCTTCAGTCAGAATGCAGTTTTCTCCTCCTCTGCATTCTGTCTAAATGTTCTCACCAGTCTTTCAGGCATCACCTCTTTGAGGAGTTTTTCTGGCCCCCACCCCTGCCCCCCATTCCCCAGGACTCAGTTACAGTGAGTGTAGCAAACTCCAAGCTTAGGTGGCCCTTTTCCTCCCTAGCCCATGAACTCATTAAAGGAGAATCCTGCTACTGTGACGAGCACGTGTGTTTCTTACACTCCTGGGGCCGAGTCTCTGCTCCATCACTTACTAGATCTGAGATCTTGAACAAGTCACCTTTTCCAGGCTTTGCTTTTCTCATACTTAAAATGAGAATGATACTACCTAATACGCCGAGTGTTTATCCTATGTTGGATATGTGGTAGGCATTTTATCTTTAATCCCCACTATTCAGTGACAAATAAGGCAGTACTGTTGAGGAAATGAAGACTCTTTTTACAGTCAGAGAACTTGGACTTAAGAGTTAAGAAACCTATCTTATATCACACAGCTCCTATGTGGTGGAGGCAATATGGAAGCCCAGGTCTGAACCTTATTACTCTGTTCTGGTGCCTGTGCATGTTTATAAAGAACCCAGCCCTGTACCTGCCTTTGGGAGTTGAATTGCCTTAGAAAAAGGACACTCCTATGCTCTCTAGGGAGATCCAAATGGAAAACTAAACCTTCTCCAGTGGTTTCAGTCTAATGTGCAGTTTCTCCAAGCTTGTAACTAAAGTCGACTACAAAGACGTCTATCACCTTTATTTGTACCTGTGTGCCACTCCCGAGTCATGCTTCCTTCCCCCTTGAACCACTGCCCCCAAGAAAGAAGCTAAAGATAGATTGGCCCCTTGAGAACAGGAAAGCAGGGGGGGAAAGGCCTTTGAATAGCTATTAAATCACCTTGACAGCTGGTACTGCCAGAGGGAAACGAGCCCTCAGTGTCCCATACTGCTGTCCTTCAGTTCAGTGTCCCAGCTCCTCACTGCAAAGGAGGACACAGACTAGGAAGTCAGCCCCAGTCAGGGGCACACAGCTAGGCTTTAGTGTAAATCATTCAGTACCATTCACTGTTTGCTTTTCTAACCAGTAATTTAGCACAGGAAAAAAAAATGCATTCTCTTATTCACGTATTTCTATTTTTAACATACAGTAGTGTAAAAATCTCTTGTAATGAAGGGATTCTGTGTTGCAGCCGAGTGTGTGTAAATAATGCCTTGGGTTTCAAAAGCATAGAATAAAGCTTGTCAGTTTGTCTGGGACCAGCCACCACACAATGTTTCTTTTTTTATAGCATGTTCAATCATGGACTCGGTTACCAGGGCTACTGAGTTTTAAAATTACAGTGCTGAGATTATTAAACAGCATGGTCTCCTACAGAATCTTAGAAGCAGCAATTAGATAGTACCTTATTCCATCATCTTTCTCTCTCGTTCTCCTTCCCCTTTCCCTCTCTCTCTCTCTATCATCTCTATCTTGATAAATATGCATTAAATAAATTCTCTTTATACTTAAAAGGGCTAAGAAATTGTTTCCCCACTATTAAAAACAGGGGTTTTTTTTTTTGACGAGTGCTCATCCTTAACCTATGGAGAATAGCTTCATTAACATGTTGCATAAATACAATCAGATACTTTTTATAAAACACTGAGCACAGTGTTCAGCCCCTGTCAAAAGATGCTTAATAAATCATTGCCACTCATTATTATTATTATGTTATTATTATTATTATTATTATTACTTCATTGGATAGTTGTAAAGATTGAGATAGTACATTACTTCAGGCAGAGAGGATGTGCTTAATAAACACTAGATATCATCATGGTTACCATTGATTTGTTATCCTGTCCCTGTTCCATAGATAGCAGTTATATTGCTATTTGCCAAAGTTCTCTTCTTTTCTGTCTTTGCTTTGTTTGCTTCAGTGCCAAGTAAGTAGCGGGAATCCATAAATGTTTAATTACTTTCCCACTTTCCTTTTGCTCTGTTTCCAGTCACACCCACAGTTAGAGGCATCCCTGCTCCCAGTTCCCAACTTGCTACAGATCCAGTGCAGCCTAGAATAATGCAGAGACCTAGGCTTGAGTTACTCTACATCCTTATACAAATTACTCCCATCCCTGGCCCGCAGATTTTTAGATGTGAAACAAGATCATCTCTGAGATCTCTTTCTGTCCGGCATCCATTGACTCTCAGATTCTGTGTTGACCAGAGGCTTTGGGGAAGCTACATTATACATAGGTCCAGATCTTAGCTACTGTTGGAGTGAATTTAAGGACCAGACATGAAAAGAGGAGGCTCTGAACAATATTATTTCAATTCTTTGATCTGGTATATTTGAGGAGTGTTAAGACTGTGCGATCACTCAAAATTTGGTGGTGTGAAAATAATCCCAGCTTTGCCAGAAATACAAGCATGTGGGTTCAAGCACCAAATATTTAAAACTTGACCACATTTGCTACAGAACGGTATCCATCCTGTATCCATGTGGTCGTCTTTGCCCTGGAAAGGCTAATTCTATTACAGATGAATAGATTCCATTCCCCATGGATTCTGTATGAATAAGAAAATTGGATAGAAAAAGATTGGGGTGCAACATGGCTATTTTAGAAACAAACTTTTCCAAGAGGATTGTCTTCACCTGGATATAAGAAAAGACTGTTATGTTGGAGAAAAAGCATGTTATGCATTTCAAATTAAGGCCTATGTCAACTTCAGGATGGGAGCTGGGGGTGAAGACGGGGAGTGAGGAGAAGGGAGTATGCATGCAAAGATCTACTTGTGCTCTTATATACAACCTACACTGTTGTCAGTGATGGGAAAACATATTTTAATTTGAGGATTTAAAGTTGGTTGTTAGATGATTTCCTGAAATCCGAATCTTCTATTTTTTCATGTGTTGTGAGTATAAAAATCATGTCAGCTAAATGGGAAATTTCAGAATTCTGCCCCCTCTAACTCCCAGGGTTCTTCCATCTGCCTTCACTGTGCTTGGAGCCAGCAAGGAGCACAGAGCCAGATTTCTCATTAGCAGTAAACCTGTTGGACTAGGAACAGGGGGCATATGGAGCCCTGCTGGGGCATGTTTGGTGCAAGGCTGGTGGTAGTCATCTCAGGGCTCCGGAGCCCATGAAGTCTTTGCAAAGACTGTGTATTGAGGTGGAAGGGGGATTGCCTAGCTTTAGACATTTTCTAAGTTCATTATGATGTAGGCAGTTTGTGCCCCAGGTGGAAGAAGTTGGATTCGGGAAATACTGCTACTCGTGCCAGCTCCCTTTTGATCACTTTCATCTCTGATTTAGCTCATCTGTGATTTGATGTAAATATTAGGATGAACCGTATGAAACTATCAGTGTTTCATATGATTCCACCTAATATTTTACTTTAAGAGGGGCTTCTGTTTGAATCTGCTGGCTGCTTGCTGTCACTTTGTTGGCAGGAAAGAAGGTTCTTGGACAGCAGGGGGTTCAAAATGGGAATGTGTGTCTTAATTCCTGTCTGCAATTCTGTGAACAGTCTGTTGTGTTGAAGGAACTAATTGGAGACCCTTGATTATTTAAAAGAACCTCACCATGGTTTGTTGGATTTAAAATTAAAATAATAGAGCTATAAATAACAAGTAAAAAGCACTTCATCCATTAGCCTGCCACTCCAAGAAACAGCATAGCAAACTACTTCTAGCTCTTCTGTTAGAATCAGCTGTGGTATTTGATGTCAGGTTGACCCCAAGACTCTGCTGAATCAGTTCCATTGCTCAGCCAGCCAGAAGCCATGTGCAATGTTTTCTAAAATGCTATACAACCTAGGTGAGGAGGTGCTTGGATACAAACACATGAGAAAGAGGAAGGAGTCCTGTGTGTGCACTTACTTGGAGGAATTAGCTGTGCTCTTTGCCTGACACATGGTCTCTCTTTGAAGGCATCAGAAGTGCTGTGAATAAAGAGTAGTTTCACTTAGTAATAAATATATTGTACATACTTAAAACCTTTTGTGAACAAGGTAAAACACAACTGGGTGAACTAAATGCAGAAGTCAAACGTACACACTAAATCACTTTCTTAAGCTAGGGATCTTATCTTCCTGAGAATAATAGTTGCTAGATCTTGTTGAATGCATATTATATTCTAAGGCCTTGGTTCTTGTGTCCATTCAGCTGACAGTCTCAGCAATCTTAGGAGTTTAAATGTTATTACCCCATTCTTCAGATGAGAAAATAGCCTCAGAGTCAGTAAATTTACCCAAGTTCACTCAGAGGCAGAGTCAAGAATTTTCATGAGTATTTCTGAGTTTGTACCATTCAGGTGAGTATACAGATTCCTCTTTCAAATTATTAAAATTGAAAATCAGTACCCAGGCAGATTAATGGCTCTTTTTAATCCTCAATTGACTTTTCTTTGTTTTCCACTTGACTCCTGGTGGCATATGCCAAAATAAATAAATAAGAAACAAATCATAACTAGGGAGAAAGCACAAATCCCTCCTTTCAATCTTGGTCATTTAAGAACCAGTTACCTTAGAACGTGTGACATGCTCAGTGTTGGCTTTAAATACTACAGATAGGGTTTCAGGTTGTACCCATTGATTGACGCTCCTAGGGCATCTCTCCCTCTCGAGATCTCCGCCTCCTGATCTGTTTATCTGAAATATAATTATATGCAATAACATGCACAGATCAATGAGTTTTAATGTAAGTATACATCTGTGCAGCTACCACCCACATCAAGACATAGAATTTTCCAAAACCTCAGGTTTCCTCCTGCTCCATTCTAGTCAATTCTAGGCTCACCCATCATCCTGAATTCTATCACCATTGATTACTGTACCTAATCCTTGAGCTTCATATAAATGTAACCATGCAGTCTCTGTTGTTTCCTGTCAGGCTTCTGTGACTCAACTAATGGCTTTAAGAGCCATCCATATTGTTTTTTATCTCAGTAGTCTGTTACTTTTTATTGCTTTACATATTATTCCATTGCATGAATGTAACACAGTTTTTCTTACCCATTCTTCTGCTGAAAGATATTTGAATTGTTTCCAATTTGGGACTATTATGAATAAAACTGCTATAAACATTCTTGTAAAGTCTTTTTAAGAAAATAGGCACTCACATCTCTTGGGTTTATATACAGGAGTGAAGCTGCAGGATCATTAGGGTAGGCAAATACTTTAAAATAAACTGCTAAACAATTTGCTAGTGATTTAAGAATAGTAGTCTCTGCCTGGGTGTGCCTTCCTAGAACTTCCTAGTGGGTAGGAAAGACATGTGTTCCTGAAAAGCAAGAGGGAAAGAATGGATGTTGGGGGGGCAGTTAGCAGTCTCTGCTATAGAGCCCATGGCTATATTTCATGAATACATTAACTAAGTTCTTTTTGTGAAGTTTGAGAGCTGAAATTCAACACTAATTTAGGTTTTCAAGGGGCAGTAGCTCTGTTTCCCAAAATGCAAGCACAGTCAGCTTTTTGGAGACACCACTACAATGGGCTGACTTTTCTAAGGGACAACTAAAGGGTTTTTTTATTTCGAAGATGATGAGAAATGCTAGTGGAGATGTCAAAGGCTTTCAGTACCTCAGATCAATGTGCATTTTGGCAAGGTTACATTTTTAGCTTCCGGCTACACCCATCTAAGGCTTCCCTCCTCTTAGTAAAACAAGAAGTGCCTACAGATTTAGGTAGACGAATATGGATTAGCTCATTTTTTTTCTTCGTTATGCTGTCTTTAAATTTCTCTATTGACTGTGAGTCATCTAGTTCTTAACAGAGGTTAAATCCTATGTGGATCCCAAATTTGTGTAATTCTTTAAATACAGGAAGCTAACTTATATTTTCAAAGGGCAGCAGCTCTTTTTCTCGAAATGTGGTGAAGCATAACAGAGACACTCACAACTCCGTGGAAGGATGTTTCCAGAGGGCAGCATAGTAACTAGTGTGGTAAAGACACTCAACATAATGTGCCGCCTTCCCCTACGATCTCCCAGTCAAATGAGCTGCGCCGAAGCAGGTCACAATAACAGTGGCAAATGCTATGCATAACACAAACATGAGTGTTTTTATTACTACTACCTTTTAGGGCTCAATATCAGAAAAATGCTGACTGACGTGCAGTGCAAGAAACATGAAATTCACGCATTTGTGGATGGTTGTGGAACCCTAAACTTTAACTTGTGCTATGACAGTCAGTGTCTGCCTGCATACAGCAATGTAAAAGTACCCTTAGGTGTACTGTTTGTGATCCATTCACTGGCCTGGCTTGAGCACACCTTTACAAATAATGAGTGACATAGGTACAAACAGCAGAGAGCAGCCCGGTGAAATCTCCCATCACCTAGAGCCACTCCACCTTTACCTGGTTGTATGACTTTGAACACATTCTTAACCTGAGTCTCCATATTTCATCTTTAAAAGGGGTATAACAGTTCTTATCCCATAAGGTTCTAGTGAGCATTAACTGGGCTTATATGGTAAATTCTTTAGGACATCACCCGGCATTCTGCAGGCACCCATTGCTGCTGTTACCACAGTTGTCTTCTGTGTAGTTGTTATATCCCTGGTGCTGTTGCTTTAGAAACTAGTTGGAACTTTTACGTTTGCTTGCTTGCTGGCTTTTTCCCCCCAAAATCACCCAATGGGTCTTAAAAGCTCATTTCTCCCTGCATTGAAAAAACGTTTTAAATATTTTTTATTTTTTAATAGACTTAATTTTTTAGAGCAGTTTTAGGTTCACCACAAAACTAAGCAGAAGGTACAGAAATTTCCCTAGTATATGCTGCCCCACATATGTCCTGTCTCCTCCACTGTCAAATTCCTCCAGAGTGGCACATGTGTCAGAATCGATGAATTTACAATGGCACAGTATTATCGCTCAATGTCCATAGTTTACATTAGAGGTCAATCTTGGTGTTGCACATCCTATGGATTTTGACAAATATATGATGACATCTATCCATTTTTGTATCATACAGAATAGTTTCACTGTCCAAAAAACATCCCTAAATTTTTGATAGGGTGTATTCTTCAGTTTCTCAAAAACCCAAAGATGAATTGAACAAAAATATGACTCCAAGAGACTTGTATTAAAGAACAAAAATGACTCTCAGGAGTTAGTCCAAGACCGCACGTGAAATTCGATGATAAACTTGATAACATTTGTCTGTGCTGGCTGGGTGGTAAATGTCCTTCAAATAGAAGGAAGCAGTTTTAAGTGCTGTCATTGTAAATATCATAAATTGCTGACGATCAAGTTTTAGTGTATCTGGATTCTTGGCATGAAGGCCTTCATCATCACAGTGCTATCTTTTGTTTTTAATTTAGCTTAGTTTAGTTAATAAGCTCTTCAAGCACTCTCTGCAAGCTTGAGGAAAGATCTTCATGAATAATTTCTGCTAAACCACACTAATGAATTATTTATTTTGAAATCTGTATGTGTAGCTATGGATAACAGCAGTTTTAGAGAAATAAAAACCTTTTTTAAATCCTATATCTGACTTTTCAGCGGTGAGATGAATTGAAAATAGAAGGGAAGAGATATTTGCAATGTGTATAGCTGATGAAAAATCACTATCTAGAATGCCACGTATAGAGAACTATAAAGCCATGTGAAAGATTCAAACAGCCCTACAGAAACCTTAAAAAAGGCAGAAAACAGAAGTGATTTACTAACATGTGAAAAGACATTTAAAATCATTAGTAATCAACAAATTACAAGTTAAATTACAACAAAGCACAATTTCCCCTTCAACAAATTGAAAGAAAATAAGAAGGAAGTCTCGTCATTTCGAGTGTTAGGATTTAGAACTGGAACTCTCATCCACCGTGCCAACTGAAACAACAGCTCTGGGAAACAGTTTAACATTGTTTAGTAAAGTTGACAATATAACCCAATAACTCATTTGATAAGTATGCACCTTAGGGAAACTTTTGTACATATACATAAGAGATACATATAAGGAAATTCACACCAATACTGTTAATAAAATCTAAATATAACCCAATGCCCAGCAGAAGGATAGATACATAAATTGTTATATGCATACAATGAACATAGCAATGACAATTAATGACCAGCTGTTACATAAAGCAACATGAATGAGCCACAGAACATAATATGGGCTCTAAGAGGCAAGTCATGGTTAAATATGTAGTTTGATATTCCCTATATCATATACACACACACACACACACACACACACACACATATATATATATATATGATAACACTATAAAGATAATTAAGGGATGATTTGCCCTAAATTTAGGAGAGTTATTTATGGAAGGAAAGTGATTAGGAAGGACATGCAATTATCATGAAGGGCATCCAGACGGATTCTAAGTTAGTGGTAATATTCTTTTCCTCAGTGATATATATATATATTATAGGCATTGTATTTTCTTTAAACTCTATGAGAGACTTTATACAATTTCTAGAATGTATGATACATATTCCCCCCTCCCCACCCTCTTCTCTCTCATGCACACACACAAACACACACACACACACACATGCACGTGCATTTTTATCCACTGAAAAAAAAGCAGAGCATGGGCCTAGATTGACTCTAAGGGCATAAAAAATAGATGCAAGAAGGAACTAATAAGAAGTTATTTAAAATGTCATCATAATGCCTTTTTTTCCTTCAATAGGTGAGATTGAATTACATATAAGTAAAAAAGGTTGTAACCAAAAGATGGCAACCCAATTTTGTGACCTGGTTTTTGCATCCTTACTGCCATTTACAAGCACTCAAGATATTATTTCAGGCACTCTCTTCATTTTTGCTCTTCCTTCCAGTAGCAGGACAGGGAGCAGAACAGGAAATAATGTGCTCACATTTGCAGAGAAGGTGCCCTGTGAATCCAGGGTTGAGGAATTTGCCCAGTCCAAAGGCTGGGAAGTGGCAAGAGGCTGCCCTGAAACTCAGATTCATCTCTGAGACCCAGGTCCTGTTCACTCTACTCTGCCCTGCTTGCAGTCTTGGTTGAGCATTTTCCCCTGCAGGGAGGCAGTGTTGGAGATAAATATATTCTTAGTCCAAGTCTTAGAACAAATGATGTCCTCTTTGGACTTCCATCCGCCCTTTCCTTGCTGTAACATTCTGCAAGGATAAGGAGCTCACATCCTAATTCTAGGATACTGCCCACTGCCAGCATGGTGCTGTGCTTTACTGACAAATGATGGCCCAGGAGGACTAATGAAGGCACATGCATTTTGCAAAGTGTTGTGTCAAAGATGGGTCAAATCAATTATGGTTTTTGTAATAACCAGATTTTCGTACTGGAACATGTTAACTAATTGGCTACAATGATAAGCTAAGGAAAGTTCATAAGAAAACTAATTGAACAGGGGAAGCAGAAAGACTTTTTCATTTCCGGATGTGATATTTGAAATCCAGAAACATGCTGTTCATTCATTTCCTCCATCCGTGGTTTATTTCCACTGCCACACATTCATCTCTCTGCTGCTGTTTTTGCAAAAGTTGTGTTTAATTCTCACCTTTCTTCCTGTGAGAGGTGGTACCGGGCAAGGTTCTTTGGGAATCGAAGCCAGCTCACCAAGGTCTGGCAGGTCCAGGGTCACAGCAAAGGCAGGGACAGACCTGACTTCACTGGGCAGGCAGGTCTCAGAGCTGCAGCATCAGAAACAAAGACCTGTAATCACACAGTAAGAATGTCAGTGGAACCCTTTTACCGTGTATCTATAGTTCCCAAATCTGTCTGATCATACATATCGCCTGGGAAGCTAGCAAACTGTTAAGAGTAACAAACAAAAAGCAGGGAATCCTTGACTCCACCCAAGACTTACAAATCAGAACATCATTAGGTAGGGCCAGAGAGTCTATTTATACATAGTACCTTAGAGAATCCAGCTAAGTTTGAGAACTATTGATTGGCTCATGCAGTCTAATGCCCTAAACCTTTTGGCACAGCATTCAAAGCCCTTTTCAAAGTGACCTCAATATACGCATTTCCCCTAATTATTGAGTGGGGAAAAGAACTCTATCCTTCTTCTAACATAAGCATAGAATTTTTCATTTGTTTCTTCAGTAACATTTATTGAGTACCTACTATGTGCCAGGCCAAACAACAAATACAATAGATTGTATCTTACTTTACCATTGCATGCTTTCAGCTGAGTTCAGGAACAGGGACAGATTTTCTAGTTCCTGAAATTAGACACATAATAGCCTGGCTTATGGTAAATGACAAAAGAAACTTCTACAGAGGATGGTAAATACAGGACATGCTTCCCTCCATCTCTGGACAGACGTTGCCCACTGCTCCCAGGATCCTTCACACTGAGTCCAGGGACTGCTTCAGAATCCTCCTCAGTGGCCACTGTAACACCACCTGCTTTGGCACATTGAGATGTTTGCGGTCTCTTCTGTGGACACATTAGAGAAGCCCATTCCGTCCCCACCTCCACACCCAGGTGACTGACCCTGTTCTCAGACTTTAGGAAAGGCAGGACTTTGCAGGGGCAGTGATTCCTTGTGGGAGGGGTAGTGGGTGGTGATGAGCCCCAGGACACTTGCCCTAGTCCCCCATCTCTCTCTGCTGGAAGGCTGTGTACTCGCTGGACTGGATGCGAACACGAATGGGTTTTAATATTCAGGTTCTTCCCTCTCTCTCTCTTCCTATCAGCCTTAACCACTCTAATGCAGCTACTGTAATAACTCACAGCATCAGGACACATTTTCTAGACTCTCATGAACTTCAGGCTACCTCCTTCTGCAATTAAATATCACACACGCATTCAGGAACAAACAGTTAGGTTGTGAAAGGAGGAAAGGAGATGTAGAAATTTTCCCTAGAGAAACACTGCATTCTTGTTGCAGAGGTTAGCTCCAGTAGGAACAGGAGATAAAAAGTCCAGCAGGCTTCAGCCACACCTGGATTTGAGCATCATATTCTGCTGCTTCCACCCCATAGCTAGCTGTGTGAACTCATTTTGTAAAAAATAGAGCATATGTGTGAGTGTAATCTCTATATCATGCTCTTCTTTTAAATTATATAAATCATCCACATGAGCTTCTTAAATGCCTTGCTCACCAGGCCTTTACATCCTCCATTTCTGACCCAGGACCTGGCACATTAAGGAAGATCTCAATAAATGGTGGTCACATCATATTACACTCCATTTTTCTATGGGAAAATTATCTGTCAGTCTCAAGGATCCAGAATGCCACTAAGAACTAGACAACAGCCAAAATAAATGTCAATAGGAGCATGAACTTACCAAACTCACAGGTTTGCCTCAAAAAGATCTCTAGAATTCATGCAAAACCTATTTAAGATGAGTTTAGTTCTTCCAAGATGCTAATACTGGTTTTTGACTCACTGTAGATTACATGTAGAATAATGTGAGGAACTGGCAGGGATATCAGCTAAAAATTAAGCTGATAGAAGGAGAGACATAAAACTAGTGAGACTCAAAAAGGTAGTATTCACCTAGTGATCATGGAGTTACCTACCCCATGTCTGGGGCTTGCTGAAAGAGACAGCATCAGGTCCTCAAAAGCACATAGTCCAGTGGGGGTGAGGGGTGCACAGGTGACATCATGATATTGTGGGCTCATGACTGTCAGGACCCCAAGGGAAGGGCTAAGTGGTCACTGCTTCCAGTCAGAGAACCAGGGGAGGAAGGGCAAAAAAGGTTTCCTAAAACCTACGATGCTTTAGGTATCTTTTGAAAGGTAGTGTTTGTCAGAAAACCAGAGGTAGGGAGGGAAGCGATAGTCTTCAAATCAGAGGGATAAGCATGAGCAAAAGCAAGATGGGTGGAAAGCCCCAGGGCTTCAGGGATCTGCCATAGAGACCCAGTACGCCCGACTAGAGCTTACGTTCTGAAAGATTAGTCATGAGGGGCACAGACGCCAGAGAGGTGTGAGGTCAGCCCACGCAGGCATTTACACGTGCACCAGGCTGGATTTGGACTTGAAGCTGATGTGCAGGGGGAGCAACTGGGGCTTTTGTGGTTTGGGGGTTGGAGGAAGCTTGGTTTGTTTTATTTTATAAACAAGAACGTGAAATGGTTTGCTGTGGTTTTAGAAAAATGACTCTTGCTCAATGCAGAGGAAAGACTTGAGCGTGATGAGACTGGACGTAGGGGAACCCCTGAGGCCAAGGCCGTCCCCCTGCCAGAAAGCATGAGGCCCTAAGCTAGGGCTGAGGCGGGACTCAGAAGATGGGTCAGATCCAAACCGGGCCCAGGAGGCAGCACAAGAGGATATGAGTGCGTGGCGGACTCAGGGCAAGGGCGGGCAGCTTCGTGCACTTCCGAGCCTTGATGCCATCACCACATTTCGTGGTGCCGTGCATGATATGTTTAATGAAAGTTGTGAGTCTTCAGAGGAGTTTAAGTTCTGTTTAATGTATTCTGTTTGCTAAAGTAGGGAAGTATAGCACCTACTTCAGAATGAGTTCCATCTGAATGATTCATTTATGTTTAATATTTGATTCCCCAGTGATTCAAATAGATAAGGTTTTTTAAATGTTCTTTCTTTTGTGTTTTATCCACTGTCAATACTGTATTTCTGATGCAATATATTTGCAAAGAAAAAAATAATCAAAATGAGTTTTAATGTGCATAAGGTAGCTAACATTTGCCAAGTCAGTATTTGAGAGTCTCTGCCTATTTAAATTTCAAATTGACCTTGTTAGGAAAGAACTATTAAGTCCAAATGCAGATGAGCAATCTAAAGCTTAGACAGAAGAAGTAAATGTTTGAGTGTTTTACAATTAGAGGTATTAGGGTGATTTTGTTTCCAAAACCCAGACTTTTTCTGCTATACTGTCACTAGCCTGATCTTATTCAGTGAACAGTCATATTCTGATTGTAGTGAGAAGTTATTACATATCATACGAACTCACATATGTGCTTGGAGTTTGCTGACGCATCTTTCACTTTCAGATATGCTCAGGAGTTCCTGAGATGTATTTCACAGGACTAAGTAGAAGACAGCCAAAGAAAACAAACAGTACATGTACAGAGCTGAAAAAATTATCACAATAAATTACATTTTTTTCCTTCTCAAAAATGGAGAATTCAGTGTGCACCATCTCGCCCATGCAAAACACATATCTCTGCAATGATTTTGCAATATGAATTAATCCCCACCCTGGAGCATATGTCAAATCATTGCAGACAACCTAGTCCTCTAGACTCAAATAAAGGGCATCAGACTGTAGCTCTAGTCTTTCTCCAGCCCGGGGCTGACTTTGAGAGCCTAGACAGGCCATTTAATTGCTCGGTGCCTCAGTCTTTTCAGTGCCAAAATAAAATGATAATTCTTGCCTTCTTCAGAATGTTATAAAGATAACCATAAGAAATGCCAGTGCTTTTAAAGGTCAGATATTCTGTACAAGGGGAAAGTTCATTTTTATTTTATATGTCTCCAGGATAGAAGTAGAAAATTTTATCCTATTCCTTTTCTTTTCTTCAGCAAACATTCAGGGGGCACACAGTGTGTCCTGCTGGAGGAGAGGCACAGAGGTGAATTAGGCATTTTTCCCACTCAGAGAGCTCATGAGCCCACTACCAAATATGTGACATGGCTATAATGCTCTCATTTGTGTCATCTAATTAATCTTTATCATTTGAGGTAGAGCTTTGTCCCCCCAAACTTTATACATGTGATGGTTGAGCCAGGAAGTGACTGAAATTGGTGAACTCCAAATATCCTGACTCCCCACATCAGCTGTCTTTCTATCATCACAAAATCACTTCACTATCTCAGCAGAGAAAACATGTTTATTCTTATGAGTGAGCTTCCATAAAAATCTGACTAGTACCAACTAAAAGCTATGGGAGTTCAGGAGGAGAGCAATTAATTTGAGATGAGATCCACTCTCAGAGTGTATTTTCAGAAGAAGAAACATTTGAAAGACACTTGAAAGAATAACCCTAACAGAAAAAGAAGGAAGATCATTCCAGATAGCAGGGGCCACAGGAACAAAACTGTGAAATTGGGCAAGGAAGTGGTACATTTAGGAACAATGAACATGATGTGCAATGAAAACATAGAAGCCATAGGCTGGAGATTTCTTTTTAAAGGAAGGTTGGGCTCAGGTGAGAGGGATTTTGAATGTCATGTTAAATAATGTGAGACTCACTCTGAAGGGTGATGAGTTTGAGCAGAGAGGTGATGTAATCATATCAATGATTTAGAAATTACCCTAATGCACTGGAGAAAACAGATTATAGGTGGCTGATTTAAGAGGTTGGGAAACCAACTGGGAACTCTTACAGTCTCATAGGCAAAAATTTAAAAGAACCTGGATTGAGGCAGAAGCAGTTAATTGAGAGGAAGATTAGAGCAGCATTTTTAAGGAGATTCAGTGCTAGTCACATGTTAGATTTGAAGGCAAGGGGGAGAGGAAGATGAGCCTAAGGTTTCTGACTGGGGCAACTGAATAAATGGTGTTGCCATGAACTGGGAAGAAGAATACAGGAAGAGAAACTGGTGTAATGGAAGGAAAATTACTTTTTATTATGTTGACTTTAAGGGAGAGGTGGTGGGAAAAGAGACATCCTCCACTCAGATCAAATTATCAAAGACAACGTTGGTGGTGGATGTGGTAACCAAAGAGCCGCAGTCACACTTCTCTTAAATCCTGCTACTATTCTGCATGCTTTGTTTGGCTTTGTT